ATTACAATAACTGTGTTACCGGAAATTACAAAACGCTGCTATCTTTCCTTAATATATTTTTCAGTCATAATGATGGCAATTAAATGCAACGTATTGAAGAGCCTATGATTAAACAGATGGTTATTTTTTAAAAGATTTGTTTGTTCGCCGTGTTTTGTTTTAAAATTATTATTCCTTTCATGAATGAAAAAACATTAAAGTTTATTCAAAAAAAATAAATAATACTGTTACAATGCAAACACATGCATTTCCAAGTTCTTAGATATCATTGAAGAAAATAGTTCCAAAAAAAAACAGATTGTATTTGATCACATTACTGTTTATCACATGGCGCTATCTATCATCTAGCATTATTTATTTATTTCCAGCCAAAATATGAGTATGTTTGTCGTCCTGTTGAAGAATTGTGTTCAAGAAAGTCGACGAAATACTACAACAATAAAGCTGTATTTGTTGAAACAAAGGGTTACAACTGTACATACACAGAAGGGCCTGTCCAATCTCGAAATGGAGCGGAACTAATACTTGTGAATGAAGTTTTGGTAATTTTACCTCATTTCTGTGCCGGTGGTTGTTTCAACTTTTCAAGATTAATGTTCTTCTAACACAATTTATTATTATCATTTTGTGTACTTTCCCATTGTTCAGTTTATTGCCCAACCTTCAACAGACCACATTAACTCCACAATTTCTGTTGCTGTGATGAAGACTCGGATTTGGTACCATGAAGGTGCGATGTGGTTTTGAACAACAAAAACCATGGGACAAGGGCAATACCTTGTGTCTCAACCTAATTACACTCATTATTGCTATAGAAACTTGGTAAGAAAGTCAGAGTTCAACTCTATGAACCACCACTTGCTGCTGTAAATACAAACCTTGCTGTCATTTGGTTCCTGGCAGTTGGTACAGTTGTCATTGGTGCTTACTGGAGTAGTAATGCTGCAAACGATTGAGGTTAAGTGTCACATTTATTGACAAACTTCTATTTATTGCTAGAAGGCAATACCTTTCATGTTGTTGATGGTATGTTTTGTTGATTTCAGGCTAAAGAGAGATTTTATCATCATCCAACGACTCAGAAGATGAAGAGGCCATGTGAAAATCACCCCCTGATGGTGGTCATATTTGTGTTAATCATATGTCTCTTTCTTGTGATGGTCTATCTCTATTTCTATGTTGTATATGCAATCATCGGTGTGTTTGCAATTGCATCGGCATCTGGCATGTCGATTGCTTAAATAATGCTCATCTACTACCCTTCTGTAAGTGTGGAAAGTGAATTATGTGCTGTTTGTTTTGCAATGCAACTATATCACTATTGTTTTGGTGATTTTTGAAGGTGCATGAAGAATCACATTGCCATGTTATAAGAAGACAAGCTTCACAGTCAGTTATCGTGCTAGCAATTTCCCTTGGAGTCAGTACTTGGTGGGTGATTTATGCAGAAATAGAAGGTAAAATATCTCTCGTCAAGATGATTAACCAAACCAATTAAAAATAATGGACGTTGTCTTGACTTTAGTGAAAATTGGTTTTACTTTATAATTCATCAGGATTTTCATTTCTCTTACAGTTATGGTTGGATTTTACAAGACCGCTTGGTGTATCGTTTGCATTTCACTGTTAAAGAATCTTCGCTTACCCAGCATGAAAATCTTTACTTTGCTGCTTCTCTTACTTCTTGTTTATGATGTAATCTTTGTGTTCATCACCTCTCTCTTCTCAGCCAGTCACAACAGTGTAATGGTTGATGTTGCAACAGGTAAAAGCAGCAACACACTTTATAATGTGGAAATTTTGTGGGATCCCTACAATACAAAGATACTACACTGAAATATCTAAGGACTGAACTTGAACACCTGATGAAGATACTAGACTGGACTACACAAGAACTCAAATTTCAATATCAGATCCTCTTGATAAAGACACTAGACTGTAGTAAATAAGGACTTAAGTTTCAATATCACATCACTCCTGATGAAGACACTAGATTGGAGTATATAAGAACTCAAGTTTCAACATCAGATCACTCCTGATGAAGACACTAGACTGGAGTATATAAGAACTCAAGTTTCAACATCAGATCAAGCCCTAATGAAGACACTAGACTGGAGTATATAAGAACTCAGTTTCAACATCAGATCACTCCTGATGAAGACACTAGACTGGAGTTTATAAGGACTCAAGTTTCAATATTAGATCACTCCTGGCGAAGACACTAGACTGGAGTATATAAGAACTCAAGTTTCAACATCAGATCACTCCTGATGAAGACACTAGACTGGAGTATATAAGAACTCAAGTTTCAACATCAGATCAACCTAATGAAGACACTAGACTGGAGTATATAAGAACTCAAGTTTCAACATCAGATCACTCTGAGTGAAGACACTAGACTGGAGTATATAAGAACTCAAGTTTCAACATCAGATCAACCCTAATGAAGACACTAGACTGTAGTATATAAGAACTCAAGTTTCAACATCAGATCACTCCTGCAGAAGACACTAGACTGGAGTTTATAAGGACTCAAGTTTCAATATTAGATCACTCTGACGAAGACACTAGACTGGAGTATATAAGAACTCAAGTTTCAACATCAGATCACTCCTGAGTAGAAGACACTAGACTGGAGTATATAAGAACTCAAGTTTCAACATCAGATCAACCCTAATGAAGACACTAGACTGGGTATATAAGAACTCAAGTTTCAACATCAGATCACTCTGATGAAGACACTAGACTGGAGTATATAAGAACTCAAGTTTCAACATCAGATCAACCCTAATGAAGACACTAGACTGGAGTATATAAGAACTCAAGTTTCAACATCAGATCACTCCTGACGAAGACACTAGACTGGAGTTTATAAGGACTCAAGTTTCAATATCATATCACTCCTGACGAAGATATTACATTTAAGTACATATAGACTTACGTTTACACACGAGACACTACTGAAGAATACCCTTAACCGACATCTGTAAAAAAATAAATTTCCATGAAATATTCACGTAGGCGAAGGTCATAAAAGCGAATACCGATGGTTCTGAAAGTTCCACCAATTATCCGTTCACCATTGTTGATTTGTCAGAGAAGGGATTATTCGCTGTTAGGATTTGGGAATATCTTAGTTCCAGGTACATAATTCAATCTTACGACTGGATCATCCACAAGATAAACGCTCTCTAGTTAATAAATCTCCGTCTTTCTTTAAGGTCTATTTGTGTCATTCTGTCATTCATTCGACCGAATGGCCAATACTCCGTTACGAATATATTATGTTGCCAGTTCAATAGGTAAGTCATGGTTTGACTGACGAGCTTTTTGGAGTTGTTTCAATTAAAAAAAATGAAATTAACCCTAAACGATTGAAGGAAAATAACCTCAAAGGCGATTTTGAAATCAAACTTTGAAAAACATGGAAGATCTTCGAATAACGTTATGTAATGTATGTTTGAGCCTGGCTTAAATTATGTCACAAACAAACGAAAAGAATATATTAGCGCCTCTTATTATGCTCTCCCCCTTCCCCCCGCTATTTTGTTTGGCAATTAATCAAGAACGATGAACTAACTGCGAAAGTAAAATGGGCGAGTTTAAAATAACATCTACCGATCCTGTGTAATCAGCTCTTAAACTGTAGATCATGCGAGGAGGGCATCACTGTGAAAGGCATGAGTGAAGAGTTGGGTCACATGGGAAGTTAAGTAATGAGTGAAGGTTGGGTCACATGGGAAGTTAAGTCAAGTGAGTGAAGAGTTGGGTCACAAGTTAAGAAGTCACATGAGTGAAGAGTTGGGTCACATGGGAAGTTAAGTCACATGAGTGAAGAGTTGGGTCACATGGGAAGTTAAGTCTTATGAGTGAAGAGTTGGCTCACATGGGAAGTTAAGTCTTATGAGTGAAGAGTTGGCTCACATGGGAAGGTGAGTCACATGGGAAGTTAAGTAACATGAGTGAAGAGTTGGGTCACATGGGAAGTTAGTAATGAGTGAAGAGTTGGGTCACATGGGAAGTTAAGTCATATGGTGAAGGTTGGGTCACATGGGAAGTTAAGTCTTATGAGTGAAGAGTAGGGTCACATGGAAGGTGAGTCACATGGGAAGTTAAGTAACATGAGTGAAGAGTTGGGTCACATGGGAAGTTAAGTCACACGAGTGAAGTTGGGTCACATGGGAAGTTAAGTCTTATGAGTGAAGAGTTGGGTCACATGGGAAGGTGAGTCACATGGGAAGTTAAGTAACATGAGTGAAGAGTTGGGTCACATGGGAAGTTAAGTCATGTGAGTGAAGAGTTGGGTCACATGGGAAGTTGAGTGACGAGTGAAGAGTTGGGTCACATTGGAAGTTAAGTCATATGAGTGAAGAGTTGGGTCACATGGGAAGTTAAGTAATGAGTGAAGAGTTGGGTCACATGGGAAGTTAAGTCACATGAGTGAAGAGTTGGGTCACATGGGAAGTTAAGTCATGTGAGTGAAGAGTTGTGTCACATGGGAAGTTAAGTCACATGAATGAAGAGTTGGGTCACATGGGAAGTTAAGTCACGTGAGTGAAGTTGGGTCACATGGGAAGTTAAGTCACATGAGTGAAGAGTTGGGTCACATGGGAAGTTAAGTCTTATGAGTGAAGAGTTGGCTCACATGGGAAGTTAAGTAATGAGTGAAGAGTTGGGTCACATGGGAAGTTCAGTAATGAGTGAAGAGTTGGGTCACATGGGAAGTTAAGTCATATGAGTGAAGAGTTGGGTCACATGGGAAGTTAAGTCACATGAGTGAAGAGTTGGGTCACGTGGGAAGTTAAGTCATATGAGTGAAGTGTTGTGTCACATGAGGAGTTACATTCTATGACTCAAGGATTACGTCACATGGTATGCATATATAATTTCATTATTTAGCGTATGCCGTTGGTCTAGTCATGACGTTTGCCGCGCTGTTTTTATGGAAAAAGGTCAACCGGCTTTGGTGTATCTCGTGCCGTGTACCTTGCTCACGGTCATCATCAGTCTCATTCGAGAAGAATTTTGTGATCTTTGGCATGGGACTTACGTAAGCAATAACTTTTAAAACATAGAAAATACACGACTAACGTTCACAAACTTTTAAGTCCTGTACTGCAATAATTGAAAATTTCCGGAATTTCAAATTAGTTTTGATAATTAATTGTACAACATTATTGAAATTAGTTCTTAGAAATATAGACAATCTTATTTTGTATAACGGACTAAAACTACTCCAACTAGTTAAAGCTTCTAAAAATACCCTCAAAAACATTATATTTCCACAAACCTTTAAATATCTTTTCCCATTTTAGGATTTGAACAACCCAAGCGTTGAACCGCTGATACAAAGCGACGATGAAGAAGACTGTATTTTTGACAGGACAGCGGGCGCAGAAGGCCGGAACCTCGGCAACAATAAGCACGTTAAGGAGGAAGATGAATTGATCAATTAATGGGAACTGTGCAATCGATTTAAATATAAAGCTGTGGGTCTATGTCCATAGAAAGTCACTTCAAAGGACGTTCTTCCAAATTACATAGTACCGCGCAGTGTATAGCACTTTATAGATAATAGCAACTATATTTCTATACAGCTGAGTGAAGAAATCAAACTCCAGCAACTATAATGGCATTTGTATACTTACATAAATTATATTTGTAATTGTGTATGTTAAGAGTTATTTGCACAAAATATCGGTGGAAGTTTTAAACCATCGCATTTTACTTTAAAAGTTTTAGTAAGTCAAAGTCACATCGTAAGAGTATTCGTGTAGTTTATAGATATTCTTTTCAATTTATTTTGATAAATCATGATGAATCACCAGTACAAAACCGACACTAAAGTAGACAGAAAAAAGGAATTGCTTTTGGTTTGTAGTAACTCGTTGGTAGCTCGTTCATTCGTCGAGTATTCGTCAACGAGTACAAAACCGACACTAAAGTAGACAGAAAAGGAGGAAATGCTTTTGGTGTGTAGTAACTCGTTGGTAGCTCGTTCATTCGTCAGTATTCGTCAACAGTACAAAACGAACACTAAAGTAGACAGAAAAGGAGGAAATGCTTTTGGTGTGTAGTAACTCGTTGGTAGCTCGTTCATTCGTCGAGTATTCGTCAACGAGTACAAAACAGACACTAAAGTAGACGAGAAAAAGGAGGAAATGCTTTGGTGTGTAGTAACTCGTTGGTAGCTCGTTCATTCGTCAGTATTCGTCAGCGAGTACAAAACCGACACTAAAGTAGACAGAAAAGGAGGAAATGCTTTTGGTTTGTAGTAACTCGTTGGTAAGCTCGTTCATTCGTCGAGTATTCGTCAACGAGTACAAAACCGACATAAAGTAGACAGAAAAAGGAGGAAATGCTTTTGGTGTGTAGTAACTCGTTGGTAAGCTCGTTCATTCGTCGAGTATTCGTCAACGAGTACAAAACCGACACTAAAGTAGACAGAAAAGGAGGAAATGCTTTTGGTGTGTAGTAACTCGTTGGTAGCTCGTTCATTCGTCGAGTATTCGTCAACGAGTACAAAAACCGACACTAAAGTAGACAGAAAAAGGAGGAAATGCTTTTGGTTTGTAGTAACTCGTTGGTAGCTCGTTCATTCGTCGAGTATTCGTCAACGAGTACAAAAACCGACACTAAAGTAGACAGAAAAAGGAGGAAATGCTTTTGGTGTGTAGTAACTCGTTGGTAGCTCGTTCATTCGTCAGTATTCGTCAACGAGTACAAAACCGACACTAAAGTAGACAGAAAAAGGAGGAAATGCTTTTGGTGTGTAGTAACTCGTTGGTAGCTCGTTCATTCGTCGAGTATTCGTCAACGAGTACAAAACAGACACTAAAGTAGACGAAAAAGGAGGAAATGCTTTTGGTGTGTAGTAACTCGTTGGTAGCTCGTTCATTCGTCGAGTATTCGTCAGCGAGTACAAAACGAACACTAAAGTAGACAGAAAGAGGAAATGCTTTTGGTGTGTAGTAACTCGTTGGTAGCTCGTTCATTCGTCGAGTATTCGTCAGAGTTACAAAACCGACACTAAAGTAGACAGAAAAAAGGAGAAATGCTTTTGGTTTGTAGTAACTCGTTGGTAGCTCGTTCATTCGTCGAGTATTCGTCAACGAGTACAAAACCGACACTAAAGTCAGACAGAAAAGGAGGAAATGCTTTTGGTGTGTAGTAACTCGTTGGTAGCTCGTTCATTCGTCAGTATTCGTCAACGAGTACAAAACCGACACTAAAGTAGACAGAAAAGAGGAAAGCTTTTGGTGTGTAGTAACTCGTTGGTAGCTCGTTCATTCGTCGAGTATTCGTCAACGAGTACAAAAACCGACACTAAAGTAGACAGAAAAAGGAGGAAATGCTTTTGGTTTGTAGTAACTCGTTGGTAGCTCGTTCATTCGTCGAGTATTCGTCAACGAGTACAAAAACCGACACTAAAGTAGACAGAAAAAGGAGGAAATGCTTTTGGTGTGTAGTATCGTTGGTAGCTCGTTCATTCGTCAAGTATTCGTCAACGAGGACAAAAACAGACACTAAAGTAGACAGAAAAAGGAGGAAATGCTTTTGGTGTGTAGTAACTCGTTGGTAGCTCGTTCATTCGTCGAGTATTCGTCAACGAGTACAAAAACCGACACTAAAGTAGACAGAAAAAGGAAAATGCTTTGGTGTGTAGTATCGTTGGTAGCTCGTTCATTCGTCGAGTATTCGTCAACGAAGACAAAACCGACACTAAAGTAGACAGAAAAAGGGAGGAATTGCTTTTGGTTTGTAGTAACTCGTTGGTAGCTCGTTCATTCGTCGGTATTCGTCAAAATGCAAGATAAAAGAAAGAGATATACTAACAAAATGTTGACACAAAGAGAACATAAATGAAAAGTAAAAGGACACAAATATTTGTAGGCTGACATAACCGGTTGGTAACTCGTTTGTACTACTGATAAAACAGAAAATTTTCACTTTCATGACGCAAAGACGAAGAAGAAATGAAAATGAAAGCGAAATAAACAAAAACAAAACAACGAGCAAAAAGATTCAAAAACAGAAACAAACCTACGAAACATGAATTGGTGAGTGAGGTAAATCGTCGATAGCTCTTCCGGAAATTCGCCAGTAAGGACATAGAGGAAAAACTAAAAAAAAAATAAAAGTAAACATAAATTAGACAAAAAAAAAACCAAAAATACATAAAAAATACAGAAAAAATGATCGATAAAAATACATAAATTTTGTGCAAAGCGTTGCAAGCCCAGGACGTCGGTATTAGTCATTGAACTAAAATACATGGAACGCTACCTGTAATAGAAAATCCTAATAATTTTAAAGCCAAATCTTACACCTAGACACGTGTGTAGTTCAATCCAATTTTCACTCCGAGAGAGAATATCGAAACACTACACACGCGTGTCGGGTGTAGGTGGATCAATCACTTGCTTCAGTAGCGTTCCATGTATTTTAATTTAATAGTATTTATCAAACTAAAGATTACATACAATAAGAAATGCCTTGCTAACACGATGTTGAAACAAATAAAAAACAAATGAAAAATCGAAAGAAGAATTATTCACATAAATAAATACAAAAGAAGATACGAACTGAGTAAAGAGAAAAACATAGAGATAATATTTATAGTTTGTGGTAACTCGTTGGTAATTCCTCAAAACGGTGGAAACAGAAAGTGCTCGTACATCATATACTAAAATGGTACATTTATAATATGTAAATAGAAACGCACTTGATCATTTTAACTACCTGTCTGATGTGTCTTGTGTGAAGACTAAACGTTACAAATAATAATAAATAATTTCTTTAAAATGGCTTTATTTCGAATTATGTTGGGCAATTGTTTTTTTAGCTCGAATCCGTTTCCCGCCTCAAATCTCTCGCCATTATTCTAAATTAAACAAATATAAAACAAAGTAGAAGTGATGTAGACATCAATAAGACACAAAGCAGATACACAAGGAAGTACAAAGAAAAGTGCGAGCAAAACGTATATTCATGACAAGTTCTTTTGAAAGCCTTTGTTGTAAAAAATTATAACGTGAATGTATGAATATCAGATCACCACCCCACCCCTAATTATCAATATTTACACCAACGATAACTACATCAAAAGTAACTACAAAAGCAGATGATGAGACCAACCCACCCCACCCCATGATTAACAATATTCCTATACGCCAATGATAAACTACACCCAAAAGTAACTACAAAAGCAGATGAGGAGACCACCCCACCACCCCCACCCCATGATTATCAATATTCCTATACGCCAATGATAAACTACATCAAAAGGTAACTACAAAGCAGATGAGGGAGACCCCCACCCCATGATTATCAATATTCCTATAGGCCAATGATAAACTACACCCAAAGTAACTACAAAAGCAGATGAGGAGACCCCCACCCCCATGATTATCAATATTCCTATAGGCCAATGATAAACTACACCCAAAGTAACAACAAAAGCAGATGAGGAGACAACCCCACCCCACCCCATGATTAACAATATTCCTACGCCAATGAAACTACACCCAAAAAAGTAACTATACAAAAGCAGATGCAAACGTTCACACACAATGTTGGTAGGTTGTGGTAACTCGTTGTCAACTTGACCATAAATCGTCGATGTACTACTATTAATAAAATACTAGACCCTTTAAAAATACGGTGTAGACAAAAAGACATAAAACACAAAGCAGAAGTAGATAATTATTTACACCCGAAAGTAGACAAAGCAAACAAAAACGAGGAAAACGTTTACTGTTTAGGTAACTCGTTGGGTACTTTTCTGTAATTGGTCAAATTCTTAGATAAAACAAAAGAACCTGTTCTAATGCGATTCAAAACAAATAACAAACAAAAAAAGAAGCAATAGATAAGATTAAGTGGACACAAACGTGAATAAAAAAGCAGATAAAATAGTAGACAAAATAATAAGTAAAAATCTTTGTAGTTTATGGTAAGCGGTTGGTAACTCGTCGATTATTCTTTAAAACATGAGATACAACAGGTGATTGTATACAATACATGATGTTGACATAAGGAAGAAGAAACAAAAGGTCAATTGCACTAGCGGACAACAACAGTGGACTGATAAGTTGCCACGAATATTTGTAGATATTGGAAACCCGTTGGGTAACTCGTCAATATAATTTATCGATATTATTGATACAACAGTAAGCCCATATATTCAACATTTACTGAGACGGAGGAAATAATGTATTTTGTGGACACGAGTCCACACAATGACATAACAGTTACGTACAGCTGAAGTTCAAATTAAAAGTCCATAGGTCACTTTGTCAAGTGGTAGTGTGCACGTGAATCTGTTATTCGATGCTCCATAACGTCATTGTCAACCCCTGTCACGTACAAAACAGTTGTATTTTGTAAACGTAAACGCGATTTATTTTCGACCAACATAAGACAAACGCACTTCGACTGCTGTAATGTAATGTTTATTATTGGAATGCAGATGATAACGAGCGACGAAGAGCTCGGTTGTTATAGAAGAAACGCTACAATTCAAATTTTCGCTTAATCGCATGTTCAGTTTGTCATTTGCTTTGGTCAACACATAATGCAGTTTGTTTACGGAGAAGAAGAAAAATATTCCGTGGCCGCACCCCTGTTTTGACGACATGTCATAAAGAATAATCACAATACGTCAATGCTA